CGGACTAGACTCCCACAAGTATGCGCCGCTCCCCCGCCCACCAAAAAGTTGTGGGAACCCGTAGTGTTGCCATAATTTGGTTAACGACTACAAAATGGTAAGTTTAACTGGAGCTGTAACTCCTGCGGGGAAAGAGAAAGTTTATAGTTAACCAATACTTTATATATGTTGTTGAAGGCGCGGGAGCCATTTTTTTTTTATTATGATATGAAATTAGTACAAACAGAAGCAACAATATTTTTGCTATCATATTTTTATGTGTTGTGGACGTGATGAAGTTGATAGAGCGAAAAGCGAATGGATAATTTGTGAGGGTAGAATGGAGGAAATGAGGGAGGGAGGGTGGGTGGGTGGGTGTTTAACTTCTCAGTGAACGGCTGACTGGGAGGGTGTGAAGTAGGGAGGGTGTTAATCTCTGTATGAAAGGCTGCTATGACAAGTGGGGAAGACGATAATGACCATGTATAGTGCTACTGTGGGAGGGAGGAAGGGAGGGAGGGAGAGCAGATATTAATTATGTGTGAAGGGCTGCTGTGGCCGGGAGGGAAGGAGGCAAGGCAGGAAGGAAGGTAAGAGGGATGATATTAATCCTCGAGTGAAGGGTTGTTGTGTCAGGGAAGGAAGGCTGTGGCCGCGACACCTTAAGATTAATTTGAGGTGTTGACAATTAGCAGAGACAAGTGGGTGGTGGCGGCCGTGAGCGGAGTCTCCCACTACACTACAATACCAGGTTCCGGGTTCACAGAGGCTCGTAAGGTGAATAATTATGGTAACTGAATATATAAAGTTAATCGTAACTGTTGATTCTAGTTAAGACACAAAACTTTTCGTCCAAGTATCGTATATATCAAGATTACATTGAGACTCTTCTACCTGAGGAGCTCATTAGAAGATCAAATTAAGGAACAAGTTTTTATATTGAACAAGGTATTATAACTTTTTTGGCGAATGGATAAGCGACACAGCTGAGTATGACTAAGTAATCACACACACACACATACACACAGAGGGCGTCACCTACTGAAACCTGATGACCAGACTATATCTCACCATTTGGTCTTTCAATAAAATTTCTTCATCCTCATCATGTCATATAATTTTATTCTTCAGAACATCACAGTACAGGTACAGGTGTCGTCCCCATAGAGACAACACTAGGGGTCAAAATGCATTAACAGACAACATATCATCAAGGTGCAAATTGTTTTTACTCTTCTTGTTTGGGGGTTTCAACACTGGTTACTCTTTCTTCATACAAAGTGAATGATAATAATAAGTTACAGTTACAAGAAAACAAATGATTAAGTACTAATATTAGCAAAAACTTCAAGAGAAATACTTGGAATGTACAGAAATTTGTATTATTTTATTTTGGTCATATAATTATGGATGATTAGATAACAAATATTAATGGGAAAAGTTGAGGGTAGGAGGGCCAGGGGAGGCGGAGACTGGGATGGTTGGATGGAGTTAAAAATTGGGTCCCCAGAGAGATACAAAGCCTTAGAGGATTGGTGAAAACAGACCGAGAATGTTTTGAGTGGAGGACCGGTGACTGATTGAGTGTGGTAAGTAACAACCCTGGCGACGCTAAGGTCATTTGTCGCCGAATTAAAATAAAGGCATCAAAGACTAAGATCAAATAATGCAAGGTAAAAAACATAAGTATCAATTAATATAGAACTTCCGTAAAAAATGTTTAAAATGTTAATAGATAAAACTCAAAGCTTGTGCAGAAGACCAGCTTCCTGCACGTAGGAGAGGACGTACCGCCCCATGCTACCCAGCACCAAAGAGAGACGGTAAGACCCGTCTCCCCCCCCCCAACCCCGGCACTGGGAGAGAGGCTTAAGACGAAGATCTCTGAGACTGCGACACTCCACCAAGAGGTGTCAAACAGTTAATGGGACCAGGCAGTTATCACAATGGGGAGGGGGGCGCCCTCTCCGTTAAAAAAATAATGAATCGGCTGTGTGGTCAATGCGGAGGCGGGCCAAAGCAGTCTCCCCAGGCATCCAATGCAGGGTGGGTATCGTGGAGTTTGTTTGCTCCGACAGCATCCCAACTGCATTGCCAACTCGAGTGGATGGCAGCTGTTATTATTGGCTTCATATCAGAGGCAGGCAGAGGGGAATGATGTGCTACAGGGCGAGAAGCAGCTGCTTTTGCCACAGCATCAGCACGTTCATTCCTCTTCTCCCCCACATGGACCGAAATCCAGCAAAAATTGACTTTCCGGCCTCGACGTTCGATGAGAAACAGCCTCTGTAAACTATTTATAACTAAGGGATGGAGAGATGAGACACTAGCTAAGGCCTGGAGAGCACTACGAGAATCGCTAAAAATTGTAAAATCGCTCTGAGGTTGGGTAAAAATAATCTCCAGGGCAATTAAAATACCCGACAGCTTTGCCGTAAAAATATATGCCATAGTGAGGAGACTACCGTCCCGACAGAATTCGAGAAAGACTACCCCAAAACCCACCCCTGTATCCGACTTAGATCGTCTACCTCCAGAGACTCTGAGGAACCTCGGTAGCGTTTTGCTGAAATTCTTGGAGTACCTGGATGGCGGGTGGAGGAGTAGCAGATGTGCCCGCCTCATCCTTATGGACCTCAGTCACTACAAGAGAAGTCTGAGGACTGAGGATAGAATGAAACATCCAATTAATATTCATTAATATGAAATTAGTCATGAAAGCACAGTCACATGAGATAATCTCATCTCTTGCACGACACGTGATGGAATATTAAATATTTGTACCTATTGATTTTTTTATAAAACCTGGCCTGATAGAACAAAACAAATATCAGATTCAAATTCAGCAATATGAAATTAGTTGTGTGAGCATGATCTCATATGTGAACCATTTTGGCTGTTGACCAGTGTAATCAGATCACTCGACCTTCTGAACAACTTGAAATAAGGGACATTTATGTTGTTGTTATTATTATTATTATTATTGTTGTTATTGTTATTTTTATTATTATTATTATTATTATTATTATTATTATTATTATTATTATTATTATTATTATTATTATTATTACTGTCATTGTTGTTGTCACTTTGTTATTAGTATTATTCTCATTATTATTATTAACATTTTCTTATTAATATTAATTTATTATTGTTATTATTAGCAGTAGTAGTAGTAGTAGTATTCCCATTAATAATTAGTATTATTTCCATATTTAATCTCTACCTTTTATTAAGTATTATCATTAGTTTGAGCTTATCATAATTATTAATGTTATCGTCATTATTTTTAACACTAATATTGATACTTTTGTCATTATTCTCTATTATGCCTTTTACATATTTTATTGCTGTTTCTCTCATTCATATAATTATCTTATTTTATTAATCTTATTATGCATTTTTATCACAGTAATATGTTCTTTTCTTCTGAGTTGTTTGTTTATTTTTGTATATTATTTTAACTAACTCATTAAACCTCATGAGTCAATTAAAGTTTGTGTCGTCGCTAAAACATCGTCATGAGGTTATTGGTCAGTGATGTAATAAAAGTTCCCGTGTTTATTAACCTGAGACAAAACAATGAATGACACGATGAACGAGTGAGTTTTGTTTAATGATCTAGTAAGGTGATGATGATGATGATGATGATGATGATGATGATGATGATGATGATGATGATGATAAATAAACTGTAACACTATAAAGGATTAAATAAATTACTTGTGAATAAAATCTTTTCCGATTCACCGAGAAAGAAAAATAATAGTTTCCAGCCATAATGAACATCATCTCTCACATACCTTGAGTTTACTTGTACCTTGTGTGTGTGTGTGAAGTTTAATATCACTTATCTTTACGTATTGTGAGGAAATTCATTAAAGAGAAGACAATATCACACAATCACTCAGTCTGCCAACTCTTCCCTAAGCCTACCAGACCCCCATATCCCCGCCACCCTCACCAGGTACCGCGGCGCCTCACATTCTCAACCTTCCCCCATGATAGACTCCTGGGTGTCTTGGCAGGTGCTGGCGCTTTTGTCGAGGTCATTCCAACGATATAAGATGCAGAGGAAGCTGGGTGGTAACCGGGCCAACAGTGAGGCGACCCAAAGTGGGACTCAGACAATCAACTTGCAACCCAAAGCTCACCACCAGACTGACGCGCCCCTGGCCTAGATCACAGCGACTCACATCACCGGCGGTCGTATCACGTTACTCTCGCCTAGCTTCAGGTTGTGAGGTGTCGCTGTTCATGTGCCTGTCTCACACAAACCTTCCTGGACCCTTTGTTCGTCTTAGTTCACACGTTTCTTGTGTGTGTTTGTGTCTCCTTTCTGTTGTAGTTTTCAGATTTCACTTTGTATACACACAGTTTTTACATTTTGCTTGAACTGTTTACGGACCTTTTAGCTTCTCCTCTTGTGGTGTAGTTTTTGCTGCTGGTCCTGTGATGTCCGAGTGCTTATGTGTTTATATAAACGTTCCCCAACACGGCGAGATATTGCTGTGTTGAGGATATTATGTTTACTGAGTTACCCCCGTTAATGATGGGCTAAAATTGTCTTCTTTCTTCCTCAGGCTTAGTGTGTGTGTGTGTGTGTGTGTGTGTGTGTGTGTGTGTGTGTAGGAGAGTATGAAATCATGTGCATGTATTGTGTACGGACCTTCATGCTCAGCAGTGCAGCAGCTACAAATCTTTGTTAGCCATCATCAGTCACTGCTGGTCATCTGTCAGTATCACTCTTAACCCCGTATTGCCGATCATTGTCAGCTAACACTACGCATCAGTAACCAGTTAGTAATACTCACCAGTTACTATCAGTGACTAACATATATCGGCCAATTTGTTCGCTATGCCGACATAACCTGTATGTTTCTTGGTGTAAATCTTTTCTCGTGTCCATTACTCGTCTTGAACACCACTATGCTCTGCCGTCTCTCCGCAGTCCCATGTTGAAAAATGGCTAACAGTTATACTCATAAACCATTCAAATAACAAAAGTTAACTAAAACATCTGACATTCTATGGTAAATTTGGTTAGTTTAGGTAAGTTAGTTAAGGAACTTTTTTTAGTCCTAAATTATCTTTCTCTTCGTAGACTCCTTAATACCTAATACAGTACAGTCTCCATCAACAATTCGTACTTTTACACCAAGTCCAGTTCCTTCATACAGGAAGTTTCTTTACACAAGACGCCAGACAGAGACGCAGGACTGCAGTTATCTCTGAAGGCTCTTGGTATGGATAGATGACTATAAGGAGGCCTCCGCCGGCTGACAGATCTGAGACATGTCTGTAGATACCAATTTGTGGCCATCATTTATCTCATACATTACTAAGCGTGTGTTTCTGTGGCAAGTGAGCTCTGTTCTTCTTGACTTTATAATCCCTTATGTTCAACAGTTGTGTTACATGGACTTCCATTTCGAGGGAATGAACATATTGAAGTCGCTAGGATTTAGCCCTTTGCTGTTTTTCTATTTAAATCATCTCATGTAAAAGACTAATGCCCTTGGCTTGACTTATCCTTCCTAGTTTTTTATGAGATAATTCCACATTAATATGATTTGTTTGATACAAGTTCCTATCTATCCTGAGTTAATTGACGAGGAATTTTGTTTCTGAATTCAACAGCTGCGGCCAGTGACTGAGTTTCGCGATATCTCGTTGTGTAAATGATGGGAGCGCCCTCGCCTCCTCTCGTGACGGTGTGTTGTGACTCTGCTAATCGATGGCTTTTCTGTGATTCTGACGTAGAATTTTACGTTTTCTGAATACGTATGTAAAACGAGAATGGTCGACAAACCCAAAAGACAGATAAAATTACCTTAAGCAATCGGAAAAAATCGTACCACGGCGGTCATGATCCTAAATTATCAGCTCAGTCGGTTCAGTGGTTAAGATCAGTAATGAAACAACCAACTGGTAGTTCAATACGACTATCGAGGCTTATACTGTATCTTATCAGCATAATTAATGTGTTATGCTTCACCAGAACCAACCCGGGCAAGATGGCAGTCTGTAGCTGAAGCGTCTCCTGGGGAAACATTCAACCAGTCATAATAGAAATAATAATAATAATAATAATAGTAATAATAACAACAACACTACACTACACTACACCCCTCCCTCCCCACCCGTCCACTCCCCCAACCTGTCACCCGTCACCCCCCCCTCCCCACCTGTCCCCTCTCCTCCCCCTCCTTCACTTCAAGAAACTTAATGACCATATCAAGTTTCATAGATAAGTTCCCGAGTCATCCATCCTTCATACTGTCCACATAGGTAAAGATAACCTGATGGATGGATGGATGGATGGATGGATGGGTGGATGGCTGGCTGGCTGGCTGGCTGGCTGGCTGGCTGGCTGGCTGGCTGGCTGGCTCGACCTCATCTCTACCCTGTCATAATATAGTTAGCTCCCCTATGATGGTCCTGTTATGCAAGGCAACAGAAAGTTAGAATTCCTGGTCGACTTTATGGTATTACCTGAGCGTTGTCTTCCCTACTGGTGAGACAGGGAAGAAGAGGTTAATATTTAAGATGGTACTGTCCCTCTGTGTCACTCCCAGACGTCATTTGTCCTCCACCAATCCAGTATATCGTAGTTACTTGACCTATTACAATCCGTTTAATTTAACAAGTTTTTCTAGCACCTGAACCTTACTTGACCCGTGTAACCTAACCATAACTTTAATCTAATCTAACCTTACCTAATCAGACCTAACCTAACTTCAATCTTGTCTGACCTAAAGAATACATAAACCATCCCAATCCAACGAAATCCAATCTAACCCAATCTAGCCAAACTTACCCAGCCAGAACATTCAGACGTATTTCACTTGTTACAAACCAACAGTATATTAAGCTTACCATCAGTTGTTGTTGACGACCACAATATCAAGATATATCAAGTCACATAATTTTTTACCGTCATTCGTCTTGTTGATAAGAATATCCCCAGGGACTTGAGGCGAGGTTACTAAGGTATACGATAATCGTTAATATTTCATAAGAGAGAGAGAGACAGACAGAGACAGAGACGCGGACAGAGACAGAGAAGCGGACAGAGACAGAGAGACGGACAGCTTGAACCAGTGTAAACAAAATCAGCGAGCGGGAGGAGTAGGCTACTGCTGCCTCATGTACGATAGTTGCTGGTATCACTGAGTACATCAAAGCTTCTATAACAGATGACAATATATCTGTCAAAACTCTCTTAATTAAACAAACTTATCCTGATGACTCTAGAACAAACGTTTTATGTTTAGGTAATTATGGTTTACTGGTTTGTTTCCTCTACTCTAAAAAATGACTCATAACGATAATACCTAATGCCTCACTCAGCGCTCCCTTGATGCCTCACTTAATGCTCCCTTGATGCCTCACTCGGCGCTCCCTTGATGCTTTATTTAATGCTCCCTTAATGCCTCGCTTACTGCTCCCTTGATGCCTCACTTACTCCTCCCTTGTTGCCTCACTCAGCACTCCCTTAATGCCTCACTCAGCGCTACCTTAATGCCTCATTCAGCGCTCCCTTGTTGCCTCACTCAGCGCTCCCTTGATGCCTCACTCAGCGCTCCCTTGATGCCTCACTCAGCGCTCCCTTGATACCTCACTCAGCGCTCCCCTGATGCCTCACTCAGCGCTCCCTTGATGCCTTACTCAGCGCTCCCTTGATGCCTCACTCAGCGCTCCCTTGATGCCTCACTCAGCGCTTCCATAATGCCTCATTCAACACTCACAAGCCAGACCCAAACAGCGAGTGTGGTGGCGTTTTACATGATCCCAGAATACTTAGCAGCTCCATGTGTGAACGATGAATGATTGTGACAGACACGAGTCCTTCAGTAACGGAACTGTCTTTTCCATCCCGCAGGTTAGAAGTCTATTGAAGAGATCGTGGGTACGGCTGCAGGAGCGACGCGCCCCACGTGGTCAAAGAGTCCAGTCCATAACCTAGACTCAAACCCAGTCTCCAGGTCCCCAAGTCTACTGGAAGAAGTAGAGGACGAGGTGAAAAGGTCGGAAAAGAGAGAGAAGAGTCCACAGCCATCGGCGGCCAGACTGGGGGGCGAGAGAGTGGAGCGTCACCCTGTAGTGTTGTTCAGGAAAGATGAGGCGGAGCCGTGTGTGAACATTAATGTAAACGGTCAGTTCTGCGGCCTCAGGACCAGTGTTGACCAAGGCTACGAGTCTTCCCAAACCATCGCGGTTTTAGATGAATAGCAGGTTAATTTATCGCATGATAATATATCTTCAACGAAGGACTAAATGCGAAAACTCCTCAATGTGAGTAATGTAAAAGATTTGGATAGTCCCTTTTTCTTTCTTTTTTTTCTTTTTTAAGGACATGATAAGAACTGGCAAGTGACGTCTTACCCTGTGCACACTTCTCTGTATTGCAAATAATACACTGAAGACAAGGATTCCCACTTGTGTGTTACATAGACATTCAGTCGACTTCTTTCCCTCGTCCTCCTCTTGTACATAAGAATGTAACTTCCCCACATTGTACAGTACTATATAATCTTAGTTCTCTGAACCGCTACGCTGTTCATCTGATCTTACTTGTTGCCTGAGATATTCATCCAAAAGAGTTGTGCTGTAACTTACCATAAATGTCTTCCTGCATGCTGAGGTATCTCCATATTTCTCAGATATTGTGAGACGTTTCTCAGTAATCATTCATCTCTCGCCATAAGAAATTCATTATCTCTTCTGAAAATATAAAAAATTAAGACGCCAGTTTTGACTACCGTTCTCAGTAGTTGCGAAGCATCACACCTAACTGAACAAGTTTGACAACCTACACGTGTCTGATCTCCCCTATTGCTACTTATGTATTGCAACAAAATGTTAGGTTTTCAGTCTACTGCTTCCTGCTTATCACTTGGTTCTTGAATCATGTTTTACCCTTTTTTTTCTTCATTATAATGCGGATACTCTTGAAGAACCAAACCTTCCTCTGGTCACTGGTAATAGTCGCCATGTCTTTACTGGACACCGACAACTCTTAAACAAATGAGTATCTTCATAAAATAAATTGTCTTAGCTTTTCTTAATTGATAATTTTCCTCCAATTCAATATTCCGTCTTTTAAAGGCTTCGTTTCGTAGCAGGAGTCACATTAAAACGTGCAGGCTTTGTTTGTTTACATCATCAGCTGAGCGCTAAACATGAGTTTCATCCTGTATGTTTCGGTGTTGATCAGAATGCTTCATTAGTCTCCATCTCACCAGTTGTCATGAATCATGTACTGTGTGTCTTCTTTATTCTTAAGAACACAATATCTTTCTTACCATCTCCAACATTAAGCTGTTTTTTCTCTAACTTCCTCTTGCCATTTTTAAAGTGTCAAACGTTCCTGAACAATATATAACACACGAGTCGCCAAGGTAAACACGTCATCTTCCTTGGTGACTCGAGTTTTTCAGAGACCACTTAAACTTCCAAGTTGTCTTGATTTTTTCTATCTTAATCTCACAAGTATATCTCCAGATCTCTCTCTGGGTCTTCTCTGCTTCCCAATTCTCCCGTCCGGAGCATTTCTGGTTAAGAGG